TCAGCCTCTGATGGTAGGGCATCCAGGCTATAGTTGATATCTACCTGGGATATCCTGTCAATCACCTCATTATTGATGGTGGATGGGTGGTTCAGCACAAGGTGGAAATGCTACTCCATCAAGATAACAACAATAGCAATAGCTCACTTTTTTTAAAGTACCAGCCTCCACTGATGATAATAAATGGATGCTACTATTTTAATGTTAAATATGCATTTGTGAGCTGTTCTGGAGGATATGTAGAGCCATCAAGTACATTAATCTTCTGGGTCTCTAGAAGGAACCCAAGATTCTCCTTCACTTCCCAGCCTCTGAATCATCTCAAGAACCCTGTGGACTTGTAGGCTGAGTCAAACAGTAGCGTAAAGTCATCTAATGAGATATTGTGGGAATCTGAACAAAGGTTTTATTCCAACACTACAGTAATTCTACCAGATAGAATTAATCTATTTTCAATTCCAAATAAGTTCCAGAGCAGTAGACAATATATTAATCTAGCAATAAAAATATGGGAAGAAAAACTTCAATACCCACCCCCCAACCCACAACTAGGTAGCCAGACAAAGGGAACTAAAATGGGCAGTCATAAAAATGTCTGTTTATTGTCTGAGAGGGGCTCTATGGAGGATCCATTTACCTGCATAACTTTTACCCCTGTACCCCCCCAAAAGTTTGCCTTGAAGCCATTTCAACTAAAGTCCCTTTTTTCTCAGGATGAAATTCACCCCTTTTATTGTATTATTTCCATTGGTGAATCAAGGAAGATACAGAAAGAGTACCCAAAGATTAAAAGGCAAACACAAAACCATTTCCTCCAACTAGGCCTGCTTTGAAAGCAACAAATAATTTGTTGCTTTGAAACTACCGCCCTTGGACCTTCTTATATACTGAAAAGACAACAACTTTCAAACATAGAGATTAAAATAATAAAGTCAAAACAGCAATAGCACTTAGACCTACATACCACCCCATTGTGTTTTACATATACAGCACTCTCTGGGTGGTTTACAGTGGTTGCCAACATATTTACATGGCTGTGCAATACAAACTTTTGATTGCTGAGTCTTCTTAGGATATTCCCTTTCCAACCTAAAAACAATAACTGAAAAAATACTGAAACATTATAACTAGTCCATAGATAACAACAAATTAAGCCTTTCTATTGTAGGGCTAAGGAATAAAACATATTGTGCACTCAGCTTGATGTAGGATTCTTTTAGCAGAAATTTCAGCAATATTGAATGTGGCGTCCTATCATTTTTTGATATGTACGTGATATCCATGTTGTCTCCCCACTTCAAATAATCTTTCATCAATGTTTTAATTCAAGAGTCAATTTATCAGTCAGTCAAAATTACAGTTCAGTGTGTTAAGCCACTTTAAAACCTTCCTGTAGATTCTCCTCTAAAAGATTAGCCAAAAGTCAAGGTTTTTTTTTTCCATAAACAGTTCTTAGATTTAAACAACAGTCCAGGTGTTTTTTTTTTCTTTCAGACACTTTTAAATCTTAGAGCTGTCTCTTCCTTTGTTCCCAGCTGTCTTCAAGGTTATTTACAATTCAAAGGAACAGCTTTTTCTTTATTTCTGGGCATTCTGTCAATTTCTGAGTCCTTATTGTTAGTATTCTATGCTCTGATTCTCCGCTAGATGTCAGCAGTTATTTCTTTTTTCAGGTTTTTTTTTCAGTCAAAAAGTTATTTTTGTTATATATTTTTATAATTCCATCAAAACTCTTTAGGGTATAATATTGACAGTTTTTTAGTTCCTAAATTTGTCCAAACTGTGGTATTTTAAATCAAATTTTAGTATATCTCTTTCCTCCTTAATATTAATTTGCCGCTTCTGTCTATAAGGGAATGAGGATATAGTCCCCTCCCTTCACTTCCGGAGGTTTTCTTGCTTTGGGGATCTTTCTCAAGGATTCAATTAGTAGATAGAAGAAAGAAGATCAATACTCTCACCAATTCCAAGCACGCTGTTCACTGATGTTCAGGTTCGTGCTCTTGGACTTCGGCTGCAAGTAGCTTGGGCTAGACGCTGATCTCACGCTAGTCTTTCTCCTGTCAGGTCGGAGGGCTTCCCCTGGATCAAATGAAGTGACCGCTGTCGCTTCGTGATCAATGGGGCACCCCTCCTTCAAGGTCACCTCTTCGGGGTGACGTCCAACCCATCCAGGTTCCCCCTGGTAGGGCGAATCTAGCCATGAGGAGAGGAGGTCCATTCTCCCATGGCCGAGCACTATGGGTGCAAAACTGGAAGTCCTATCTATCATACAACTCTTGTCACTTAACAGAATTGGACTGATGAGAAATGAAATCCAAAACATCTGATAGGCACTAATTTTCCTATCCTTCCCTTGGCATCATTGTGGGGCCACAGAGAAGGAAAACCACAAAAACCAGCTGTCCTTTCTGAAAATGGATGTGAAGTATAGGCTTGCTGTTTGGCAGCTGTACTCTCTCAGAAGAGTTTTTATCTTTTCTAAGACAATTGTAGTAAAGGTGTAGTAAAACAAGCACAGCCTTTCTCTGGAGTTGGGGAGGAAGCTAAGATCATCCCTGCGGTTGCCCAAGATATCTGGTTTGCTCCACATCTAGATCCTAAAGTTGGGAGCAAACTGGGGCCTCATAATATTCAGCAGAATGAGACACAATATTATTCAACATTGTGTAATGCATGCAACCATTCACACCCCTGTTCAAATCTGATTTTCTTAGGATGCTACTCAGTTCTACATGTTGTTACAATTATTCTGAATTTCTACCAATTGTATTTGAATACAAATTAGCAGTAAACAGGGCTTTTTTTGTCATAGAACACCCAGAACGGAGTTCAGGCACCTTTTTTGGATGGAACCTTGTAGGGTAGGCAACGCAGGTTGTATGACGTGTGTGAGTTTTGGCACCTTTTTTTTTTTTTTTTTTTTACAAAAAAAGCACTGGCAGTAAAGAATTCTGTCATTATACTTTCCATACAAATGAGGACTCCTCTGCCTTGCTAACCTTTAACCAGGATTCAGATCTTCTTTGCTATCTATAATTTCAATAGTTGTCAGGAATAAAGTGCTAGTGAAAATGACTGCTGTGTATCATGAATTGTTTCTTAAAGATGCTTGGAGGTGGGGTTTTAAAGCAGGCTATGACATGGTAAACTTGTATTTGGACAACATTAGTTGAACCAGGAAGGATTTTTCTCCTTTATGCAAGAAAGAGAAATCTAGCTAGTGTTTCTCAACCTCAGCAATTTTAAGAGGTGTGGAGCTCAACTCCCAGAATTCCCCAGCCAGCATAGAAGCAAGGAATTATTTTCTACAGAAAGTATTAATTTTTTAGATCCTGATCTGTTACATCATGAGGTATGTTTCAGATACTAAGAGCTTTACCTTTCAGTAAGAAATAGGCCATAACTTAGTTTCTGAAAATTTTGTTGGATTTATTTTAAATTAGGATAGTCCTCTAATATTCTACTATGGTTTATGAACTATTTGGATTTACACTTTATGTGAAGCCACCTTTTATCATGTTATGCTTAGCAACTATAACCTGATAAGTTTTTATAATACCCATGCTTCACAAGTTATAATAGTTGGCTTCATGCTAAGCCAAAAATAAACAGTCACACAATCTGTGAGAATTCAGCTTTTGTGGTTGTTTTTTTAATATTGCTCTTCTGTTTCTATCCTCCCAAATTAAAGTAGATTTGGAAAACAACACAAAAGGAAAATCCAAGCCAGAATGTCAAGTGTACAAATTGTGAGAGAAAATAAAAACCTAAATCCATCAGCTTATCTGTACATGCCACCCAAGCAGTCTTGACTCCAGAAATGCCACGTTTGAGTGCTCAAAAGCAAGGAAGAGGCATTCAGGTGTGCAAGTGCCCTGTCTGCCTCTAATGATCATGGATAGGAAAACTGCAAATACTAAGAGCTTTCGGGACCATCACACAGATGTAGATGCCAGCTGAGGTTGCCACAAAAGATCAGACTCACTATATCTGTCCTGGTAAAAGCACAGAAACTGATGAAAAAAAAGGGTTTAAATCATTGCTGTGACTCTTTTAATGGTCTTCTACTAATTCTGGAGGAACGTCACATTAGTTTTGCTCTTGTAGTAGTGCTACGCAGATGTTAAAGATTCCTTAAGTGGAAAGAATAGATTTCAGTCCCGGATCTCCTACACTGATTAACAGTTGGAACAATACAGATCCCCACAGACATATCCAACTGCATGACAAAAGCTACTGCAGCCTTCCCCAACTTGGTGCTCTTCAAATAGATTAGGTAAGAACATGCCATAAATTGACCAATTGACCTTGCAGGTTGTAGATAATGAATATTATAGTCAAACACATCCTGAAAGTGCCAGGTTGGGGGCTCTGTGCAGCTGCTTTTTTAGGCCTTATAGCTGCTTTGAATAGCCACTAGCTTCCAATGAAGGGATGGTCCCCTAATTCTCCCATCTCCCTATTTTTACTGAGAAAGAGCAGAATAGTATTTTGATACATTCATGCAAGAACACTGTGAATTATAAACAGATCACCAATCAGAACTCTGCTGATGTTGATTCCATAATGATTTAAATACATAAACCCTGGCCATTAAGAGGGAAAGTAACTGCATGCCATTCGTTTTATTACTCTCCTTTTCAAAGAGGGGCTCTAACTGATGTTCGTAGTTGTCGGAGAAGGCAGTGACTCAAGTCCGTGACCCTAGAATGAAGGAGAGTCAAATTAGACGGCCTTCCAGCGTCAAGCCCAAGACAGTCGCCTTCACCTTCTCTCTCAGGCGAACCCGGGCGCGCCCAGTCAACAAACCCCGAAGTCTCAAGGAAGGAGTTCGCATCCGGGCAGTTTGGAGTTGCTGCCTTGCTTCGCGAACAGGAGCAGAGCAACTCCGACGCTGAGCAACGCCAGCTGTCCGGATACCCAGCGGACGTTGCAATTGGCCGGAAGGCTCTTTTCGAAAGAGTAACAGAAGAAGCTAAGATCATTGACCGACTTACTTCGCCTTGGCTATGGGGTGTAAGGACCCGAGCCTGGTTTCTTCCACCAGCTGGAAGCTGCTGCGATTTTCCTCCAGAGAAGAAGAGAAGCAGCAGTAGCAGCTCCTGGTGTGCGCGGGAGGAGAGCAAAGCCACCTGCGAAAAAGGAAGGAGTGCCTGAGCCGTCTGCCAGCAGCCGACCTCAGCAATCGGCGCTCCACATCATCCAACCACTCCCACCTGGAGCCGGTCCGGAGCGCCTGCTCGCCCTGCTCACTCCCCCCCCCCCCCGCCGGTTCCGGGGATTGCGAGGCAGTTCTTCGCCTGAAAGCGGAAGCAGGATGCTGGGAGCTCCGGAGAGGGCTTTCCAGGCGCTGCCCTCGACCGTTCTGCTGTCGCTACGGGAGTATCTCATTTTCCTTCCTCGTGGCGGGACCTCACTGGTAGCACCATAATACGATTTTCGACTGCAGTCTCTATAGCCGCTTCTTGCCCCGGAGAAAGTTTCATCGAACTCGGTGTCCTTGTTCGGGTATGGTGTTAAAATGTTACCCAAAATATATTTTAGGGTTGTTTTATCGTGCGAACCTATCGTTTTAGATTCATATGATTAAGGAAGCCAAGCCTGAAACTGTAGTATAGTAAGAGCAAGTGCGGAATGATCTTATGGCCACCCTTGTTCAGGTTTCTTAAATCACAGTTGGTTGCGCTCCACTTCACGTGTACATGAAGTTTTCTCGTTGCAAACAATCATGCAATCTCTTTGAGGCTGGCTGTCCGGTGACGTCACAGATTTTGCGGAAGGCAGGGGCTAGTCAGAGCTCGTCACGCGTTTGTTTCTATAAACTGGAAGTCGGAAGGCGCATACATTTACATAATTATTATATCCCCGATGTATCTCAGCGTTTCTGATTTCGAAGAACTCTAGTGAACAATCCCAAAAAGGCTTTATTGCTAGTCTCTGAAGCTGTTGAAGGAAATAAAAGTTATTCTTTTATAAAATTGTAGAAAAATAATTGTAGAAATGCAATGCCAATATATGAGTGTCTATTTAACACAAATGTAACACTGTAACGCAAATATAGCAATGCACTGCCAAATGTGTGAGAAGGTTTGTTCAATGTTCACTGCCTAAAAATGCCTCTGGAAACAGGAACTTACACTTTGAATAGAAATCACAATCAAAGAGGGGATTTTGACCTTAGGTGAAAATTACAAATAAACAAGATAACAGCAGATGGGTGTGATGAAAGTTAGCCCAGAGAAGAAATATTAAAAAGGGCAGAAAAATATATTTTTCCTCAAAAGGACTTTTTAAAACCAAACCTGGCCCCAAATCTATCTCTCTGCCCCAAGCAAGAGCTAGGCCCATACAAATGCAAATGTAAAACCATCAGAAAGTTGAAGCCAGAGCAATCAAGAAGACAAAAGAGAAGATCTGTATACCCCACCCAAACTCTAGGAGTCAGTCCCATCACCTGGGAAGCAGGATATGATAATAGAATTAAACCACAGATATCAAGGCCTAGACAAACACTCAGAAACAGCCTCAAGGTTCATGCCACAGGAACAGGAAACTATTCCAAACAAAAGGCTAGAGGGGGTATAAAAGCCTACTGCCCCATGTGCTCCTGCCCTTCTCTCTTCTCTCTCCTCTGCACTTTCCTGAAGAACCATCTTTCTGCAATAAACTGTAACCTTCCCAAAGCAGTCGCCATGTTTGCTTATTTATTCCCGGCTTGGATGAACCAGGATGAAAACTTTACTTCTAACAGGTGGAAGAGGTCAGGATGACTTTAAGTACAACTTCAAAGTACATTTATAAAGATGAAAGAGCTTCTTAGATGTGACATGCATTGTAGGGGTATAAAATGCAGATCTTGAAACCAGGCCAGTGTGCTCCTGGAACCCAATCCATTGCAAACGCCTCTTCTCTTTTCTTTACTTTTTATTCTTTTTACGTTATTCTCCAATAAACCTTTGTTTTGTTAACCAGACTTGTCTTTGTATTGTGAGTATCAAAATTTGGGGTTTTTACATCTCACACTGTGGTTACATACATCTGAGTGAGTCTGCTTGTAACATTCCTGCTGCAAATATTCTTTTCTGAGGTTTCAAGTTTTTTGTATCGTGTGAACCTATTATATTGATTTACTGAAATGCTCTAATTTATAGCATTCAGATTAAAATAATCCAAAATGACAGCCATTTTGAATTCAAACAGCACAGTAATGTGCTGGGCGTAAGGTGGAAAGTAATATGTAATAACACGGGACCAGCCTATTTGCAGGACTCCCGTCCCCTATTGTTTTTGTCTGTCCCACCAAGTCTAACAGGGAGGGCATGCTCCAGATCTCCATCAGACAATGTCATCTTGTTAGACCCCAGATCGTGTCTGCTTTGTGTCTGACTTGTGAAACAGCATCTCCCCTAGAGATTCGTATGGCCCCCAATGCTGTTAGTCTTCTGTAAGGCATTGGAGACCTGGTTGTACTCCCAGGCATTTGGGCCAGGAGGTAAGGTGAATCTCTTGCTGATGTAGCTTTTTATTTTGGGATTATTATTTTAACTTTAAGAAAGCCTTGTAACTTTCTACTGTTATGGTTTTCATCCTTGTACAGTACTCCACCCAGAGTCATTATTGTGAAATGGGTGGTCTGTAAAGAGTTAAATAAGTAATAGCATGCTCTGAAGTTTATATCTGACCATGCCATACACCTGATTTATGTGCTTGGTAGAAAAATAGGCTTGAATTTTGCTGGTCTATTACTGTAATAAAGATTTGGTTGACAAGTGTGACTTTATAGTTGGAGTCACATATCACACTAAGGAGCAAGACTAAAGTTTTTATAGGTAATCTTCACTTTATGACCACAGTTGAGCCCAAAATTCCTGTTGTTAAGTGAGACAATTGTTAAGTGAGTTTTGCCCCATTTTACCACCTTCCTTGCCACAGTTGTTATGTGAATCACTGCAGTTGACAAGTTGGTAATGGTTGTTAAGTGAATCTGGCTTCTCAATTGATTTTGCTTGTCAAAAGGTTGCAAAAAGTGATCACATAACCTTGGGAAACAGCAGCTGTCATAAGTATGAACTAGTTGCCAAGCATCTGAATATTGATCACATGATTATGGGGCTGCTACAAAGGTAAGTGTGAAAAACAGTCATAAGTCACTTTTTTCAGTGCTGTTGTAACTTTGGTCACTGAATGAACTGTTGTAAGTAGAGGACTATCTACAGCACAACAGACTAAAAGGTTAATTCATTTATGGCTCAGTGTATTCACATGAATCCAAGCAATTGGTTTAATTCATTTAGTAGATTTAGTTAGCCATGGCTTAATATATTGTACATTGTGGTTTATTTAGTTAGGCATTTGTGTGTGCTCATGTGCCTTTGTGTTAGTCTTGATTCTTGGGAACTAAATGAATAAATCCCTGCAGGTTTTTGGCAAGATTTGTTTTAAAAGTGGCTTGCTCCTGCCTTCTTCCCAGGACTGAGAGAAAGTGAGGGGCCCAAGGTCTGCATTATCCTTGTTGGTAATCAAGAAAGGAGTCAATGACCAAGCCAAAGTCAAAACAAATGTATATAACATATGTCTTGTTTAATTAAGCAAACAATTGGCTGCCATCTCAGTTTGGAAGAGTATGTGATATAGCACCATCTAGTGCTGTTTTGACTGAAAATACATTTTTTTTAATTTTTAATAAATGTAAAACTGGCTATATGCATGTTACACAGAATAACTAATGAACCACATTTTAATCTTATTTGTTCAGTGAATTCAGTCTATGTGATGGGTTTATAGTTCAATCTGTTCTGCAAATCCAGAAGATTAGGTTAATTGGATAACTGGTTCTGTTTATCATAGGTAAACCCATTGTTTGAACACAACTTTAGGACTTGGTTCACAGATCTATATAAGATGTAATCACAGAGTTGGAAAGGACTTTGGAGGTCTCCTAGAAAGCAGGAATAGGAATAGCACTTAAATTTCTATACTGCTGGTTTACAATGTCAGAATCTTGCTCCCAACAATCTGGGTCTTCATTTTACTGGCTTCGACTTCGGAAGGATGGAAGGCTGAGTCAACCTTGAGCCCATCAGGATCAAATTCCAGACTGTGGGCAGAGTTTGCCTGCAATACTGCATTTTAACTGCACCATCAGAGCTCTTGACCAGGAATCCTTGACCATCACAAATAGCTGTCCAACCTTTATTTGAAAATCATCAGTGATGCCTTCTCTATTGTTTAATAACAATTACAATCAGGAAATGACTCCTTAGACTCCTTATTTTGAACCTGGGTCTGTCTCTAACCTTCTACCTTAGTATTCTTGTCCTACCCTCTAAAATCCACATCTTCATTCCCGTAATACCCCTTCCTTGGAAGACTTCTATTATGCGTCTGCTTAGGCTTCTCTTCTTTAGGCTAAACATGCCTAGTTCTTTTCACCATTTTATGCAGGATTTGGCCTGCAAACCCCTCACCATCTTTGTTCATTTTTGCTGCACTCTTCAGTTCCTCAGTATCAAACTTGTGTTCTGGCAAGCAAGACTGGATATATCATTCCAGATGAAGTCTGTACATGCTTCTAGTACAGATGTACTGTAGAGTGGAAGTATCACTTTGTGGCATGATCTTGACATTATATATCTGATGCTTTGCCCAAGATTGCATTGGCTATACCAGTGTGGTCTACCAAGATACAGTGACTGTTGAGTCAAGTGCCACGTGTCTTGTATTTCTACATCTGGTTTTTCTTGTCTTGAGCTATAACTCTGCATTTCTTCCAATTAAACTGAGTTTTACTGGAAAAAGGCCCAATGTTCAAGTCTTTCAAGATCCCTTTGAACCTTGAACCTTCATATAGATAGCTTCGGAGAACAAGTCAACTTAGGTGGACCAGATCGCAATTGTAGTTTAAGAATATGTGTTTGATTTATTGCAGATGGCCTGGCTTTCTTTTTATTTTTTTTAAGCCCTACTGAAATGTCTAACAAATCAGATTGATACAAAGCTGAACTGGCTGGGGTGGAAAGGAAAAGAAGAAAGGAATTGGCTAAATAAGCCATGATTGCACTGCTCACATGCAAAGAATGATCCTAGCTTTTTAAAATTGTTCAAGAAGCCTAATTCAGGATATTTGACTCAAGCTCATGCAAAGATTAGAAAGACTTGAGGAATAAGCTTCCCCCCCACCTTCATTGCCAAAGTTAGATTGACATAAATTATTGTACTGTATGTATATTGACCATCTCTTTCTGTCTCTTAGTATGTTTATGATATGGCTTTTTCTCCAATTTGAGATACCTTCTTGTCTGTTTTACTCAGAAAGGCCGCATCTAGTTCTCCTGATGAATGTGCTTTATTCAATGTCTCTGGTTTGTTTGTTTTTTTGTTTTGTTTTTTTTTAGACCATTGCCTCCCACAGCCCCGCAAGGATAGAACCAACAGTTTAGCTTCAGTGGCTATATTTTACCCCCTGCTGAACAACAGTAATCTTTCTTCTTGACAACAACCTGTTTTTTCAGGCTACCTTCTGGAAATTGTGCAAAGCTGAATTATAAGGATTGCATAGCAAGAGCTTTGCCATGTAGATTTAACTACTTGTAACAAGTAATTGAAAAGTTGAATCATGTCGATTGGATATCTGTGCATGTTGCAAAGATTTCATGTTAATACTTGGCACACTCTTCTGAGTTTATCATAGGGATATTTATATAATCAAGGACAGGTGAAAATCACCCTATAAGGCCAATTCTGTTGCTGGGAAGGGAGATTTTTTTTGGCATTGGCATTGGCTTTAGAGCAGACAACTAATGACAGTTTTCAAAGGTGATTGCTTCTGCTCACAGTGAAAATTTGGGGCATGTGGCAGTTTGTCCAACAAAAGGAAGGAAGGAAGGAATCTGCATTTTTAAGTGTTGCTGTGGAAGAACAAGTTGAACTCTATCTACTAGTCTAGTCTGTTGCTTCTCAACCTTGGCTACTTTAAGATAAGTGGATTTCAACTCTGAGAAGTCTCTGGTCTGCATGGAGAAGTCCATAAATTGCTAAGGATGAAAAATATTAGTCTAATCAAATGTGTTGAATGAGTATAAGCATAACATGTGCAAATAACATTGAAGCAGCTGAAATGCTATGGTAGGAGGCATTTCTATGCAGTGTCTCCCATCTCTAATTCTGGAGGCCAGAAGGAGGATTTAACAATGTCTTAAGCATCCCTGTCAGGTCTGGATAACACACAAAGCTATAATTGGGGAAGTAAATCTTCTAAACATGAGTATCTGTTGTGATTAAGGTATGT